AGAGCTGTTAGGTTCAGTGGCCCCATTTTGTCTAGACCTTGCTTCTTGCTGCCTGACCTCAGCCATACTTCCTAACTCCACCCTGAAGGACCAAAAAGTCTCCTGGCTGCTCCCAGACAAGCTCTTGCTCTAAGGGGTGGCCTTAGGCAAAAACAACCCCAGCAGATGCTTAGCTCCCTTGTTGCTAGCCCATGTTACCCCTCAGCAGCGTGCCTCTTGACAGTGCAAGTAAGACACATTTCTGGTACCCAGGAATTGCTCTCAGGCAAACTCTTCAACCCACAGTGCATGGAGACGCGAGTAGGAAGGTCAGGTGGGAATCTGGGAGGAAAGCTGACAAGGGGGGAAAGGGCTGAAGCTGCACATACCCACAGGGTTGCTGTTGGCATAGGAGAGGTTTTGGGGTCACCTTCATCTTACTTGTAATCACTGGTTGGAGCTCACCTTGCCGCAGCTGAACCTTATCCTTCTGGAATGTTTTTCCCACATGTACTATTTCTGTGGTGCGAAGTTATTTTTTCCCTTCTTTATAAAGGCAAAGTGCTGAATCCAGCTTAATGGATGATCAAAGTGACTATCAGTTCCAAACCCCAAGAATAAAAAGCCCTTAGTTAATTTCTCTGCAATTGTGGCCTCATTTGCCTTCTAAAATAACATGCAATATATTTTTACAGGGACTCAGATGCAAAATCAGTATGGGCTATGATTATAAGAGCAAAAAGACAATCAGCATCATGGGTCCTATTCCAGTCACTGGTTTTGCCTTAATATGTCAGCTAACCCAGCTTGAAAAACTGCCATGACACCACTCATTAAGGACGTGAGGGGCTACACCTGAAATGGTTTCCACAGCACAGGCTGCTGCTACTCTAACGGCTATGAATTTTCCTATTATTTCTTGCTACTATTTTAATGTTACAGTTGCTATTGTAGAACATACTGATATAGAAAACTGGATCCATTTACTTACTGTTGCCTTGCCACTAAAACTAGAAAACCTCCTGCTCTATTTGTTTCCAGTCCAGTCTCTAGCTCAGGAATACTGACCATCTTACTTAGATGAGATAAATAGCATCAACATGACTGAATTAAACAATACTGCCTCAATAGAGGGACAATTGTGCATCTAACAATTAGCAGACTGTAATCAGTCTTTTCCCATAGCAACATACCTCTTAACTTTACCAACTAATAATGCAATGCTCATACACTTACTTTTGTAGGTTTTCTGGAAAACAAACCCAAATCCAAACCCAAAACACAACCCTTCAAAGGAAATATCCTGTTGTATGTTTCTGAGTTTCCCTGAAGCTGAATGCTGTGGGTAGGTGACCTCTCCCTGCCTCTACGTAACAGTTTTTGTGCACCTGACATAGAAGAGGCATCACGTGTGTTGTTAATGAGTTTCAAAGGAGCAGTTGTTTTTAAATAATTAGTCTGTGTCTAAATCTAAGAGAGATTAATTTTTATCAGTGAGCATGGAGAGCTCTTGGCATGCAAGAACTCATGGTTCTTTGCCTCCAGTTTTCTATTAGTAACAACTTACATGAATCAACATGGGTGGTGATTGAAAGCACTGGGCTATAGTGAAGAGTGCTCTCATCCTGAGCACTCAGTGCAGAAGATTTGGTTCCTTTATTTACTTTGCATAAATTCTGGGGAGGAAATATGAGGCACTGAGAGTCCCTTTGTTTTTGCTCGTTGGATTTAAGCAGTTCCTCTTGTACACACCAGAACAATGAATCCCTTCAGTCCACCAGGCTGTCAGTGATACAAAGCCTTGGATTCACATTGTAGATCGGTTTCAAAGAAGCAACTGGATGATTGCAGTGACTTCAGATTCAAACTTTGCATTTGCTGTTTTCAGAGACAAGGAATAAAATATACCCCCTTATGCTAAGAGTCTGAGCTGGCATAATGTACATATCATTAAGCCAGAACATCCAGGCTGAAGTGTCCTCACTAATTGGGAAAATTCCTGGCCAAAAATATATTGGTTGGAACCCAAAGAACACAGGTTATCTCAGTAATTCCTCACCACATACTATCACTGGTAGAGTCCTTATCTTACATACTTCCAGTCTTGGTAAGGACTTGCTAATACAGGCAACACTCTGTGTGTGGATGAGCATTCACATAGCTGGTAGGCTCAGTCCTCCCTCTGAACCCACAGAGCACATAACAAAGCCTTTTTCTCTGACTTATTTCAGAAAATATGCTTCTTTTTTTTTTTAGGTAAAAAACCTCCTACAGCCATTTGTTGACTCTTCTAGATCCACGGACAAACACTGTTTTGCTAGATGATCACTCAGGCATGTCAGCTGGATGCCTCACACCATTCAGAGTTGTAACCGGGATCATTAATTGATGCTTGCAGAAGAAGAGACAGTGTATCAAGGTTGTGATCATTTGTAGTATTTCATCTTTATCTGGATTAAAAGAAAATCCATTGGCTAGCTTGACCGAAAGGTTTTGGTTCCAAAGGCACAACTTGGATCCAATAAGAAAGAAAACAGTTATCAGTTTTCTCTTTCATATTTAATCTTTAGAGAGAAATCTCTCTGAAAACGCCATTTGGACACTGACCTAGTCTGACTAATTTTGGTATCTTGCTGTTGGGAGACAAACCAATTCTTCCTCTTTCCCTCTGTAATACATGTAGAAAAGCAGTTCCCTCGTAATTTTATCCACCATACTTTAGTGGAGTACCAAACCTACTCACTTTGAATACAGGCCATAAGGCATTTCAAGTGTCAGTGTGGAGGTTGCATTACCATTCTGCAGCCCTAAAACTATACAGGCAAAAAAAGTCAGGCAAACTAAAGCTAAAAAATAAAAAAACATAAAAAAAAAAAAAAAAGAGAGAGAAAAGGTGTTGAGAGTGGGTGTGATGATGAAAATGCTGACGGGCCCTTGCATTCAGTGGCAGTAATTAGCTTTACCATAGTAAATTCCAGGCATATGGCATAGCAACTTTCACACCCTCTTACATGATTTAAAACAGTTCTCACAAATGTTCGCCTCACTGTAACTGTGAAAAATCTCCTGTTTTCTGAAGAGTAAAACTGCTCCAGTATCTTGCCGTAGCAACTGACACTTAAAAAAGAGTGCCTCCCAAATCCAGTTAAGGCAATGGATGTGTGTTTAATGCAGGAGAACAACAATTAGTGTATTTTTGACTGAAAAGAACTCAGTTAAGCTGCCAGAGATGTCAAAAGTTGCTCGCTACCCTGACACTTACGTAATTGTTCTGCGAACACCCACACGCCGGAATAGACCTACTCCACCAAAAACTGCAGGGCTGACTCACTGAGTGTTCCTCTACGTCTCTGAAGACCTAACCATCTAGGATACATCATCTACAGCGTAATTCTAATGTGATTCCCCTGATTCAATAAAGTCACACTTCACTCAGGGAAAAGGGGAAAAAAAAAGACAATCTGTACCTTCAGGATCCTGCCCACCCATCACGGGGGAAGCAGCCAAAACTGACAACGCTGAAGAGCATATCTGCTCTTCAAAACTGCCTGAGCCCCATACAAGGGCAAGCCTGGGATTAGATGTGGCTGGCTATGGTCTTCTGGATTCTCCTTGCTGAAACAAGATACAGAAGCAACTGCACCTACAACCTACTCAGTTTTGACCTCCATGCTGTGCAATATTTGCCTTCCAAGGAGAAGGACCAGGATGAAGGACAGGGCACCCCTCCATAGAGCTCATCCTAACCCTATGCTGAGGCAGACTGGAAATGGAGCAGGGCACTGCCGCATCCTGGTCCTTGCTTCCTGCACACTTCTATCTTACTCCCATTCGAATTCTGTTGTGACCCAGAAATGTTTAACTTCTCTGATCTGACGGGACTGCCACATGAAATGAAGCAGATTGGTGCGAAACCAGACTAGAAGTAAAACCAAAATAACAAACCAACATTTAAAACAATTATGAAGAAAACCTCTAAGAAAGAGCAGGGAGCCTCCATTCTTTCACTGGGAAGCATAGGAGCATAGACATCTCTACAACAGCCTCTTGTGACTAAAGATTTATATGCATGGTTTAGCCAGAATAGGAAACTTTGTGAAAATGGTTTATACTTTACAGCTATATTACAAAACTTCTCACAGAAAGTAATAATTCAATGTAATTTACTTCTATGTTATGCTAGTGGCAGCAATATACTAAATGAGTAACATAAACTGTGACCATGAACAGTACTGTAATCATCCTGCCATTGTGCTCTGACATACTGAATAATGACCTGGTATTTGAATGGGACAGTTCTACCATTTAGTCCTCATAAATATCTAACCATACTAAAGCCAGGATAAACTTAGCAACAGTAATTCTCTTGTCAACATTTGCAGAAATTACACCTATACACACCCAGTCTTCAGGGCATGTTGTACACCAGGAACATGCACAGCCCAATACTGCCCCAGATATTTTGAATACTGCTCCATTTTTAGGGCATTATCCTCTCCCCCTATATTCTATTTACATCAAATTCTTTCTACTGGTTTTCCTTTCCCACCAACCACAGTCTCTTTAGCTTCCAAATGAAAAGAAACCACTAGGTTAAACTGTGGGATGTAGCAGTTGTGGCGACTGAGCCCTCAAGACCACTGTAGTTTGGCAGTTTTGTTTTAATGTCCTGTTTTGGGTTTGGTTGTGGGTTCTTTGAGGGTGAAGGGGGGGGTGGGGATGTCAAACTAAATCAGAAAGGCAGGCCCTTGCACTGCAGGACATGAAGACCTATGTCATATGCTGTCTGTTCCTGGAAGCCAGCAACATCACTGATGCTGCAAATTCAGCATGAGATTTGGGCTGCTTTTCTCTTTCTCTCTTCTTTTTTCTCTAGGACATTTTAGCACCTAGGTCGGGCCATTAGTTTGGTGCTTCTCCCTTGTTAAGCTTTTCTGAAACGATGTTTGACAACAGCAGGTCACCAGGGAAACCTCCAAACTCAGTAATAAGGAAACTCTTGCCTCTGTCAATGCACTTACCCATTTGGTGCAGGTCCTTCCTGGCCCAGGAGAGGTCCCCATGCAGGACTTTTCATCTGTGAAAAATAAAACAGATGTGGTAAATGGGAGTTGCAGGTGTCAGGGCATATATCTGTCCCTGTCTCTTGCCCTGTGACTTCCTGGAGTCAAACTGTGTGCTTGGCTCCATGGGGTCCCCAGGACACATTCCAGTGGCCATATAAAAAACAGACAGCGGAAATTGAATTGTCTATGCCTGGGCAGGACTCCTAATTGCCTCTCTTTGGAACCAGAATATAAGATAGCTGTGCAGCATTTCTTTCCTTGAATATGCCTGTCCCAGGGTGAAGGTCTTTTTCTTATATGACTTGATGTCCCTGGTTTGGTCTCTGCACAGCTGATTCACCCTTCACTGTGCAAACACAGTCCTTCTTTTACTCTTTTCACGGTTTAGAACAAGCCTTTAGTAATCCCAGGGGCAGGCTTTTTTCCATGGGCAGAACAAGAGAGAGATTTGGGAGCAGGGGACCTCATAAACATAGAGAAAAAATACATCTTTAGCATTGGGAAGAGAGGGCTGCTTTCCACACCTGCTTGATGCTGCCAGGTTTGTTTCCTTGTAGAACAAGTGAACGGGATGAAAATGGGACAGTGCTATTGAAGGAACATACTTAGCAATAGCACTAATTCCTCCCCAGGTAAGCCCACGTTAGTGCCTAGTAAGCTCTTCCAAGCACATCAAAATGTGCAGCACTAAAGAGATTATAGCATTTCCTCAGCAGCCTCATCTGGTGTGATGTATGTGCCCAGTACAGCGTGACTGAGGCTGTGCCTGAATAGCAGGCAACAGCAGAGAGAAACAAATCAGCATGCAAAACACGGTAACATGCTTTGGGCACTACTGAACTCACTGATATCGGCAAAGAAATAATACAAGCACATTGTTTTCCCCATACAAACAGCATGATATTCCTGCACGATGGATCAGGACTTTTGAATAGGAGTTGCTGCTTTCCTCAGCTAACGTTAACAGAACCATATGAATCTGGATTCCAACCAGTAAGCTAATTTATTAATTTAATCACTGCTACCAAAGTTAAGGGCATACCAGTATTTTTATGTGATCATGGCCTCAGTACCACTTCAAAAATTTATTCTGCTTCTCTCTTTTGTCTCTATTACACAGTCCATTTTTTATTTGAATGCTTTCAAATTACCATGTAACTAATGATAAGAAAAGTATGCACACATACACTCTTCTGTTCTCACCACGTGTATTATCTTTTAAGACAGCGCTGCCCACCTATGCTATGTTTCTGTTGCCAGCAGAATGTAATCCACTGTGAAGTGATACACAGGTCAGTGACACCAAAACTGCCTTTACCAATGACAGTACCTGGTAAGGGGGGGGGGGAAGGTAGAAAGACCCCCCCCCAGGTAGAAATGAAAGAGGAAAATAAAGATTAGAGTGCTGGCCTGTGTGGCTGGCCAATACACTGTGAGCTTGGCTAAATGGGTGCCTTTCACTGCCCTCCTCCAAGCTTAGTTTTATCCCCTAAGAAAGAAGAACCCTACAGCCATTAGCGATCTGCTGTCAAACAAACCTCTCATCTTTGCACACCCAGAGGAACCATTTGGAGAACTCCCATATGAGCTACATTCAGGAGCAAACTTAGTTTATACTACAAGAAGTCAAAAGAAAACAAAACCTTTTGAATAAATGCATGTCTGTAGTAGCTGTTAAGTGTTTTAAATCGTCATTCCTAAGTAATTGCTAATTACACTGCTTTATTACAACCTGCAATTAAATATGTGCTTGAGGTCATCCAGCTATTTGCTGTTTCAAGGAAAGCACTTGAGTCAAAAGGATTTCCTAAATGGAGTCATTCAGTGTTTTATTTCTCCAACTTCAGGCATTATTTTAGATATGAATAATTGGACATTGAATAATCAGTTAAATGTCATTTCCATAAATTGTTTGTACTTTGCATAAAACAAATAAAATGCTTTATAAGGCACTTTTGTTCTCCCTTTGAGGCACCCTGCACTAACCAGTTTTACACCGAAGGCACTGTACTCTGTGGCCAGTTTGGTCTAGGATGATTTGTGTATTTCTATTTTCAAACAGATCATTCACACAAACCAACAAAGACAGACCATTAATTCTCACTTTTACAGAAATTAAAAGGAACTGTGGGGAGGCCATACTGATAAACCTAGAGAGAGAACCTGCGAGAATCACAGACTGTCAGGTAAGCCCTAAAAGTAAGGGCTGGTTACACTAGACACCATTTAGAGACAGTGAAGGGAACTGAGCAGCTCCGGAGTGTAGTTTGTACTCTCTGAAGACCCCCCAAAAGTGAATATTAAGAGAAATAACTAGCTAAAACATGAACATCTAATTTCTCCTATCTAAACCTGGATGACTGCCTAGCTGAATCACGGGCATCTGCTGGTTCAAAGTCAGGATCCTCAAAATTCATGCCCAAGTGTGAGCTGTCAGTGGAGAAACCTGTCTTCACTACATTTACCAAGCTCTTGCATTTCCAGAGCTGAGTTGATATCTCAACCAAAATCCTGATGCCAGTATGTTTCATGCTCTCTGGCCTTCTCCAGCAGGCAATCCCAGAGTGTACTGCACTCGCCTGACATTAAATACTGCAGAGGCAGAAGGTGTCTCTGCCACTTTGATTCAGGTCATCAGTGGGATGTGGAAAACCAAGGCTGGAGTCCTTGCTTTCCTAAATATATAGAAAGACAGGCTGTCAAATTCTGCTCCATATCAAGTAAAAGAGAAGCACGAACCTGCATCTTTACAGGAAGAAAGCACTTCTATAAAGAAAAAACTTTTCCATCCCTGATGTCTAATACAGGAAGAAACTTCATCAGTACTCAGCCTCTCGAGGATGCCTCTGCACTGCTGCTTCAGTATCCCAACCTATGAAACACCTCTCTCAGTGGCCCGGTTGGCCCCGTTTCAAAACGTCATAGATACCTGCCTTTTTGGTACATCTATCTCCCATTACACTATGTAGATAGTCTATCTGCCTAATTCAGGGCCAGGGCTTCTATTACAGGAAGAGATGTGAAGGAATTGGGCAAAGCAACACTGAGCACTAATCTCCAAAGTCCATGAAACTCTTTTATCCTCTGTGTCTACATCTCTGGCCAAGACAAGCTCAGATTATAAGCATTCATGGAGATCTATCTGGGTCTCTACACATACTAAGAATGAGCAAGAGGCTTATGGTCCAAAAGCCAGCAAATAGGCTTTTTGTGATGAGTAAGCTTTGAGCTGGACTGAATAGGTTTCATTCACAGCCAGGGAGGTATAAAACCAAAACAAAATAAACCAAACCCCACCCAGAAATAAACATTTCAGGGTTGAAAAAGCTAACTCTGCCAGTGACTGGATGAATGAGGCGATCATGCTTAACAGGAATAGGCTCCTCTTACAGCCTAGGTACTATAAAAACTTCTGGAAGTTGAATGATAATTGGCCTCCTGGTGAGGCTTGGGTTGTATATCTGGTCTCTGACAAAGAATCAAATGGTAGTGTGGTTAACTGAATCCACTCCTGCATCCCTCAGTGACTGACAGGACAGCATGCTGTCAGATGCAGAGAGGAAAAGTGAGCACATACTTGCATGCAAACACAAAGATAACAATGTTCCAGTAGTTTTTCTTATACTTTAGACTTCTTCAGCTGATGCATGCTAAGGGAGGTACTACTACAAATTCAAAAGGTGCCGTGTATTCCACTTTTTTTAACTCTGCTGCAGACAGTGCAAAATCTCCCTCCTAGCTCACAATGCACCAAAGACCACCCTCCTCCTGTGGCTATGCAATGAGCTGGCTACAGCTATCATCATTACATGTCTCTGCCCCCAGCTCCACTTGGGAAATACAACCCTCTTGAGTGTGCTTTAACATTTTATTGCCTTCATACACTTAACTTTAATGCTCATAATATTTTGACCAGATCTGACATGACTAATTATAAATGCTACCATTATTTATTGTTGCATTACAACTAGGCAGGTATCTCAATATGTTTGATAAACCGCTTGCATAACATGTAGCTTTCGTTAAAACATTGAATGACTAAGATTTTTATTTTAAACCACTGCCATAAAACGTCACTGAAAATGCCCTGAAGATGATAATCAGAACACATTTTCTTCCCAAAATATTTTAGTCATCAGAGAGTCAGGCAAGTTTACCTTATATGAGTATGTAAGTGTGTGATAGACGTAATCTGGGGTTTGTTCTGCTTTCTTTGAATCCTAATTCTGCAACGTGATGATGGTTTTGTGTGCATCTTCATTTTTTTAAATGTAATCAAAATACACTGTAACCCCAAAGAACCATGTTGATTAATAATAACAACGATTACAAGGAACAAATTGTATTTATCATTGTGTCAAGCTTGCTGGGAATTGTCACAGTGTTATGCTGAAATTGTCCCTGTCTTTAACTTTCAGGTCTCATTCACTATGGTTCAATATGACTCCTTCTGCTTGTTTCTAAGTTGACCCCTTAGGTGATAACTGATCATTTGAGGATTCTTCTGGCTGTGGCTCCTGTTGGGATGAAGGTTAACTGAGAAAATACAGTTTATTATTGCAGTAAGTGAGTAACAAGAAATGTTTGAGATGGCTTTAAGACAAGCATCACATTATACTGCACCTTGAGAGATAACTACAGCTGAGGCAGTTTGAGAATTTCTCTTCCAGTTGCTCATGCTTTGCAGAATTTATGATTCCAGAACTTTCATTACTTAAGCCTGAAATTCACGCTTAGTAAGGCTGAGGTTTGGGCTATATTAAGTTGTAAAATCTGAAAAAAAGTTGATCTGCTCTACTTGAGAAAGATAAATAATAAAACATTTTTAAGGAGGGACAGAAGGCGGTGAAAAAGAGTAGTTCTTAAATTATGACCCAATTACTCATTTTACCAGGACTGTGCTATTTGTCATATTAATGCACAGTAACCAACAGTCTCAGCCCCAAAGAATTTGCTGTCCTGTCTGAGCCCTGACATAGGTGAAACGAAAACTCTTAACAGAGGCAGGGGGAAATACTAGCACATAAATGAATAAAAATCAAAGGTTCCTCCTTTGTTGTGTCTTTGCTCTGAACATTTAAACTCCATACCCTGGATACAGAGCTGAACAGAGAGTGAGGCACCTGATAAGAATAGCTTAGAAACTCTTTAATGAGAGACAGCAGTACCACGGTGGCAAGCTGGACTGGCCAGCTTGTCCCCATGGAGCAGTGAGACAATGTACGTGGTTCATGTCCAGCGAGTCTTACATTAAGCTGGCCAAATGCCCCTGCTTAGGGGCAGGGCAAATTTTGTGTAACACCTCAGTCCGGCTTTCCAGCCTTTGAAAAAGATAGCAAGCAGGGACGGTCTCAAAATCCCTGCTGAGAAGGGCGTTGATAATGCTATCTGGGTGTCAGGCTGGCTTGAAACTGCAGCGACTGATGTGCCAACTTTAATTAACATCACGGGTGTTCTCTGTGCAGGAAACACAGGACTGCCCATGCTACTATCTGTTCCCAGGGTCAACACTCTCCGGCCACTTGCTACCTAAGGAACCTCCTTCAGCTGGGGTTAAAAATAACGACCCCGAAGGACAGCAGCAGTGTAAACGAGATTAGCCTCTTCTGAACAATTTTACTCCCCAGGAGACGTTGGCGACAGTATTAGCACCTAGGCCAGGCTTCCCTCAATTTATCTGCGTTCTTGGTTTTCGCTTATTATTTGCTAACCCGCACCTGGGAACAACCCCGCCCGGCTCAGCCTCTGGCCCCGCTCCGCCGGCGCCGCTCCGCCGGGCCCCACAATCTCCCCTCCCGTCTCCCGGTGCGGTGGAGCCCCTAGCGCCCTTCCGCCCGGCCGGCGGCGACGGGTCCGCACCCGCAGGCCGCCCGCGGGAGGAGCCGGAGCGGCGGCCCGGGCCGCCAGGTGCGAGGGGCGCCGCCGGGGGGGCTGCGGGCTCCGCGCTGGCGATGGACCCCTCCGTGCAGCCGGGCGAGGGCGGTTCAGTTACCGCTATCTGGCGGGGCCGCTTTCCCTTGTCATGTTTTTAGGGTGGCCGCAGGCTGTCTCTGAGGCAGCGCCGGCTCCCTCGCTGCGCTTGGTGCAGCGGGTAAAGCCGGGCTGCGTAGGAAGAGATTAGCTCGGGGTTTACCCTTCACCCGCGTAGAGATCAGCTGAGGACAGAGGCTGCTCGGCCTCCCGAAAAACGGGATTCCCGGAGCGCCCTCATTAAAAGCCGGGCAGTGACCAGCTCTGAGGAACTGGAAGGGGGAAAGAGAAGGCAGCCAGCTCCAGATTTAGGGAGAGAAAACATGGAGGAAGGGATAAAGGTAAAAAGGTGCCTTTTGTTCCGCCGGTGCCAGCGCCCGCGGGGGGGAAGGAGGAAGGCTGTTGGGGGGGGCCGTGCCGCGCCCCCTCACCTGCCCCCGGCGGCCGCGGCGCGGCTGCCGCTTGTTTGCACTCGGCTTATCCGGAGCGGAAATTCCTTTCCGTTTTTGTGAATGACAAACTCATTAACGATTCATCAACACAACCTGTTCCAGCCGGCCCGTCGCCGCGGCAACAGCCCCTTCCGCGCGCCCCCATTGGCTGCGCTGGAGAATGTATCCATTGAGGCGTCCCGTGGTTGTATCCATTGAGGAGCCGCCGGGCGCCGGGACGCGACCGAGGGGCACCGCGGGGGGTGCGGGCACCGGCAGCACCGGCACCGCCGCGGTGATTCCGCGCTGAGCGGGGTAGCCTCGCTCGGCGTGCACGTTAATTGGATTTCATTCACTCGCAGTGGAGGAAAAGCCCAAGGGCTTGGGCTGCAGCGGCGATTAGGCAGGTTCATTCAGGGATTCATTGACAAAAAAGACAGGAGAGCGGGCAGCCTGCGCGCTCGCACGCTCGCACTCACTCACTCGCTCACACCTAGCCGCACTCGCACACATTTACACGCCGGGGCTGCTTCTCCCTCGCCGTGACTCTGCCGCCGCCCCGCGCGGGGACGGGGGGGGGGGCTGCGTGATTCATTTTCCTGGGGCGGAGGGAGATAAGTTGTGAGGAGTTGGAGGGGTGCAGCCCGCCCGCCGAGCCAGCCTGCTGAGCCAGCCGCATGCCTCTGTGAGAGCGAGAGGCGCTTCCTAGAGCACGCTTCGCTCCCCACGTCCTTCCTCATGCTAGATACGTTCAGACCCGTCCCTTTTGCTTCGGAAATGGCGATTAGTAAATCTGTGGCGTGGCTGAACGAGCAGCTGGAGATGGGCAACGACCGGCTGCTGCTGATGGACTGCCGGCCGCAGGAGTTGTACGAGTCGTCCCACATCGAGTCGGCCATCAACGTGACCATCCCCGGTATCATGCTGCGGCGGCTGCAGAAGGGCAACCTGCCCCTGCGCTCCCTCGTCGCCAGCAGCGAGGAGGACCGGGAGCGCTTCGCCCGCCGGTGCGGCACAGACACAGTGGTGCTGTACGATGAGCACAGCCGCGACTGGAACGAGAACACGGGCGGAGAGTCCGTGCTGGGGCTGCTCCTCAAGCGGCTCAAAGACGAAGGCTGCAAAGCGTTTTATCTGGAAGGTGAGAAGAGCCGCCCGGGGTTGGCTTGCTTCCCTCCCTGCTTGTCTGGGGCTGCGGGTAGCAGGAGCCGAGCCCCGCCGCTCGGCTGTTGCGGCTCTGCCCGGGTAGTGGTTGGGGGGCCTGGCCATTGCACACTGACACTCCGGGCCTTTACCCCATGCCTGTTCCCAGCCCCCCCCAGCATCCCTATCCCCGCTTTGTTTAAAGGACCCTCGGGGACTGGAATCCACTGGGGAAGGCAGTGGTAATGGGGGTCCCGGCATGAGCAGGGGAGGGAATAGGAGGAATCGTTGGCGAGACATCTCTCGGGTGTCCCCGCAGGGTGCAAGCGGCACAGAGCTTTAATCCTGAATATGCTGAGCCGCAGTGGATGATTTTCTTAAGCCGTCTTTAGGTTACTCCATCTGCGTGAGAGTGTGTGACATACTTGTTTTCTTTCTTTTCCCGGGGCTCGAGAGGGTGGGAAGCAGATGCCCTTTTGCAGACTGTGTCAGGGAAATAAGCTGGTTTGCCATCTTATATCATGTTGCATGTGTCGTGTCCCCCCCCGCCCCGGTTTTCTCTCCAGGTGGTTTCAGCAAGTTCCAGGCCGAGTTTGCTCTGCACTGCGAAACTAACCTAGACAGTTCGTGTAGCAGCAGCTCTCCTCCTTTGCCAGTCTTGGGCTTGGGAGGCCTCCGAATCAGCTCTGATTCCTCCTCAGACATCGAGTCTGACATTGACAGAGACCCCAACAGTGCCACCGATTCCGATGGCAGCCCTCTATCCAACAACCAGCCTTCCTTCCCGGTGGAGATTTTACCCTACCTCTACTTAGGCTGTGCCAAGGACTCCACTAATCTGGACGTTTTAGAAGAGTTCGGCATTAAATACATCTTGAATGTTACCCCCAACCTGCCTAATCTCTTTGAAAATGCCGGCGAATTCAAGTACAAGCAAATCCCCATCTCTGACCACTGGAGCCAAAATCTGTCTCAGTTCTTTCCTGAGGCCATCTCCTTTATAGGTGAGACCCGATTGTTCGCTAACAGCTATCTGACAAGCGGTAGTACTCAATTTCTTTGGCAGAATTCGGGAGATTTAGGGCCAGGAACCGTAGCAGTCTTTCTCGGGGCTGCGCTGCTTTCTGGCTGTAAAGACGGTTTAAGTTGAGGGGCTGGTGGAAGCTGCCTGGGGGGTGGTTGAGGAGCCCCTGTGAATTGTAAGCGACGTTTGCAGCTTGCACACGCAACCCTGTTTTGGCTGGCTGCGGGATTCCTGCCTCAGCCGTTCGTGTCGGAGCTGAGGACTGAGCAATGCGCAGGATGGGGGATCTTTTTAAATCCCTTCCTGATGGGGAGGGGGTGGTAAATGAGTCTGGGGTTGGATGGCTTATTCGTCCTTGGTTGTTTTTTTTTTCTCTTGAGGTTCTTGAAGTGCAGTATAATAAAAAGAAACGATCTGGGAAGCTAAATTTAGCTTTTAAATGCAAGTTATTCATAAGCGGTATCCCTGGCAAATGTATACTCAGAGCTTTAATTAAATCTCGTGGTAATAATGATATACCTCTCGGGCTCGGTGCCTGGGTTAGCCAGCCCTTAGACATTATCCGTCAGTTTTGGAAACACGTCCCTTTGGGCTTAAAGAGTTCTGCTTAAAATATGCACTCTCCTTCGTTTTGGGGAGGACTATGATCAGCCCATCCGGGTGGGCATCGCATTATCTGTTGGGAAGCTGTGCTGTAATCTGGTTGAATGATACCGGTAATAGTGGAGAATGTAGGTAATCTGAGCCCAGCAGGAAGAAATGTGGGCTGGAAGCCACAAAGAAACTAATCTCCAGGCATTGTAACGCATTTCCTATTACAAAGGAACCCATTTTCAACCAATGTTGACATCCTGTTCCTCCTAATGGGCTGTCCCCTGTGACTTCCCTCATTCTTTTAAAATGCCTGAATACCTCCATTGTTAGCTGCACAACAGTTGGAGAATAATTTAATAGACCTTTGCAGTCTGCTGGTCTGTATAAAAGGCATTCAGTGACATACTGCAGGATTTCCATGCTGGGGCAAGGGGACTGTAAGAGTTTAAGGCAGATCTCCAGGAGAAAGCATGTCTTTCAAAACTGACTTAATTTTAAAACAGTGTCATGCTGTGTCTCCTGCTCCCTTTGTCTCATTCTTAGTTTTCTCAGCTGTTGGACATGGGTATGTATATTTAGCGAGGTGGATTCTCCCCTTGTCGTGGTTTTAAGCCGATGAAGTTAACTCTTGCGTTGCACTGCTGTCAGCTGGGATTGGAATTGTGCTTCTTTCCTGTTTGATATGAATTTAACTTGCTTTGAGGGATCAGTTACCAGCCCCCTGTCTTATATGTCCTTCTTTGCTCTTTGTGTCCATACAGATGAAGCACGAGGAAAGAACTGTGGCGTCCTGGTGCATTGCTTAGCAGGGATCAGCCGCTCGGTCACAGTGACAGTGGCCTACCTCATGCAGAAGCTCAACTTGTCCATGAATGATGCCTACGATATTGTCAAGATGAAGAAGTCCAACATTTCACCCAACTTCAACTTCATGGGTCAGCTGCTGGACTTTGAACGGACTCTGGGGCTGAGCAGCCCCTGTGACAATCGAGTGCCGAACCAGCAGCTGTACTTCACCACCCCTTCCAATCAGAACGTCTTCCAGGTGGATTCCCTGCAGTCCACGTGAACACCCACCACCTCCCTTCTGCCCGTTTCATGGGGTCATTCCTCAGTGGGTTCTCTTTGGCAGTGATAAAGAAAACGTAGCTTTCTCTTTTCCTGGTCTCTGCTATCACAAAGCAGTTGCCAGAGCAGGCTAGGAAAGGTTACACAGTGTGGAATCGGCTATTACGAAGGGAGGGAAAGTGGTGAGCTCTCTGGGAAGGACTGTGGTGACCAGGCAGCAGGTGGGCAGTGTGCTCATCCCTGCTTGTGCAGTGGCTTGTGTCCGAGGACTTCCGGGGGGGTAGGGTAAGGCTGGACAGGCTGAGCACGTGCTCCTTATAGAGACTGGGACTGTCCTGCTTCCCTCTCTGCTTTTGGATCTGTGACACACATCTTTGTCTTCAGTGAAGACTGGTTATTTTTGTTTGTTTGTTTTAATTTAGAGGAGCCAAAGAAAGAGATTTCAGCTTAGTGTATTTGGAGTACTTGTTTGCCGGAAGCTCGGTAGTATCCTACTTGATCAGTGTAAATATTAATCCTAAACTGATTTGCAATTTTTTTTTTTTTAATTCACATATATTCAAGAAATCAATCTAAGGAACACCTGTGTTTTTGTTCTGTTCATAAGTTCTGCTTTACTTGTTTGTTCTTTTTTATTGCAAAGAATACATTTGCAGCATGCTTGATTTTATTGTTCAAATGAAGCAAGCTTTCCATGAGGGAGAAATGGCAATGGTGAGAAGTTTGCAAATCATGTATTGTGAGCAAGTACAGTCTCTTCTTTCATATATCTTTCTTTTCCTTGTGGTGATTTTGTTTTCCTCATGCTCTTGACGTAGTTTCCCCATGATATATATATATTTTAAATTAATTTTTTTGCCTTACCTTTTGTAAATACATTGTCTGGGAGGAGGTTTGTCTTTGAATGCAGAAGACTTCTGATCACTTTTTAAAACTTTCAGATGTGCTAAACAGTGCATTACCTCTGTACAAATTCTTCAGGGAGCTTCACCTCAAATGCAATATTTTGAGTCTTTTTTGTTTTCTTTTTTTTTGTATAAAACTGGAAGTATGTGCGAGCATTTGGACCTGTGTGTATGCACAGTGAACCTGCACATGGTTGCCAATAAGGGAGAGTCTAATTCATGGTGTAAAAGTTTTAAGATGGAATTTATTATAAGAATGTAAAATCTTAAATTATTAATAAATAACTATTTTTGGCTATTGAGAAGCTGG